GTCATCAGTGGCCCTATCGCTAAATCTTCAAGACTTGGCAGTGTTAAAGCTTCACCGCGTTGCGTTGAACAACAACGATGACTGCAACGTCCCTTATCAGTCCCTCACAACTCTTATCTCTTTTTTCACCCTTTGTTGATGTCCCTATCCCACCCTTCATACCTTTTGATAGAATCAACGCCTTCCTAATGCGGCGGTCCTCGCTGTGAATTTGGCGAATCTCCTTTTCTATAGCCTCTTATCGGATCTTATCAGCTGTGATAACGCTCTGTCACCTACCAATAGTGTTCCCGTCCCACTCCCTTCTCCCTATCACACTTTGGAACTGACCCTTTACAGCTGGTGCGACACCTGACCCTAGCTCTCTGAGTGGCTCTTCAGGTAGATGCGGATTTCCGGACAGTTATATGAAGAAGATAGTCTTCTTTGTTGCGAATGGTGGGGGGGGGGGGTATCAAGGGGAGGGCAGAGTTTGGCGCAGCGCCAGCTCAATATTACCAATGCTTTCCACTTGCCCTTCAACGATTGGTGGGGAACACGACGGCGCCGCACCAACCTATGCCCTAGCATCAGTGGTGAACAAGGCTGAATACCACTTGCCATGAAAATGTCTTTTTACATGGCTTTTTCTTTTTGCGGATTGAAATGAGCGCTACAATTTCCTTTCTGTAGTCCTCAGAAGATCTTGGACCCACCCCTGTGTTTTTACAAACCAGGGTTTTGGGCTGCACTTCACCACGGTAACAAGAAAATGACCAACCGCTATAGCAGCTAAAGCTTCATGAGTAACATAGAAAACTGTGGCTGGTTTGAATGCAGCTGTTTGTTCACGTAGTTTCTCTAGATTGCGATCAAGAAGAGTCATCACTGAAACATGAACCATGGAAAATTCTCTATTGCTGTAAGGCTGCATGTCAGCGAAACAATGCGAGACTTCCGCCGACGTGCTACATTGCACTGCGTGGGCTTTGAAATAGTAGCATGACGATGCTTCTGCTCTCCAGATCATCGGTGATAAATATTCCAAGCGGTGGGTAAAGCATTGATAGGTGGCATAAGGCGATGGTGTGACATAATGTGGCAGTTCGAGACGGGACCGCGCTGTAGCTGTAGCTGTACTGAGTGACTACTCCTAGCGAAAGTAAAGCCACATCTGTTAGTGTACGAGGAACGTCATTTGCTGCGAAAGGCGCCATAGAGCTCACAAATGGAACGTGGGGCACTACTGGTCCGAGAGTCATTGATTTTTAAAGCAACGGCACCGGAAAAGACATGCGTGAAGAGAATTCAAATCTGTCGACCCTCAGAGCTTGTGCGTTGTATGCAAGCTATTCGCAGTAAGAACGATGTAGCGTAGCGTATTGTATTGCCAAAAGCTAAAGGCGGAAAGGTGAGGAAAGCAGCTTGAATTGGCGCTGATGATAGCTTGCGACATCTTCAATGAATAAGGGTCCAATCCCGGATGACTTTCAAGCTTTGGGCGCAGGGTTATTCGAAAGCTATACTTGACTTGGCGAGTATAGTTGATAACTGTATACTAGCCTGCCGCATATCGAAGGTAATGATCCGCCAGCTCAGGTAGTGTGTCATTCACTACGCTCAGAAGTGGCAGCGAGATAAGGGGGTAGTAACACGCGCGCCGTTTCCATACTTCATCTACTCAAAAAAATTTGTGGCACCTGCTATGATACCAAGACCTCGAAGCGGAAAAGGTATTCAGTCTTGCAGAATGTTACGGAACTAGAAGTGAGAGGGCGCAGACAACCAGTCGTGTGGTTACTCACGCCTTTCTTATGCACTTGTGACAGGAGAAAGTGGCTTTTTTTGCGCGCAGGAACCGAGAATGAGGTGAGTCACAGGTTGGGCCTACAAGTCTTTACTTTCATCCTAAGAGCTTCGTATTTACGCTGCTTTCCCAGTTTTTTTTTCCTGTGTTGGAGCGAAGATAGCGAGAAAAGCTGTTGTGAGTCAAGACAGAAAGGCTGCGTTTATACTTTGCGGCAGCGTAGCGTAGCGTAGCGCAGCGTAGCGTAGCGCTTTCCAGCGTACGCCAGCGGCAGTGCCGAAGAGAGGATGCATATCGATCTAGCTTCACCAGCGTCACCAGCGGCACGCTGGCGTACGGCTACGCGTCACAGCTTCAGGCGCACGCTAGCGTACGCCAGCGGCACGCTAGCGCACGCTGGCGTAGCGAGGGCACGGGAAGCATAGCTATCGATCTAGCTTCACCAGCGTTTCTCGAGCGTTTCTCCAGCGGCACCAGCGTTTTGCTAGCGCTTGCAGCGGCAGGGAGTAGAGACTATGTGGCCGTGAGAGACGCAGAAGCGATGTGCATTGTAGAGACTATGTGCCCGTCGAAGACGCAGAAGCGATGTGCATTGTAGAGGACCTATGCTGCCCGTCGAAGACGCGAAAGCGATTGGCGCAGTATGTAGAAGACTCAGGGACGAGTGAGAGGACGGGCATCGGATGATGTTTTTGCCGCTGCGCCTCAGCAGCTCCTCCCATACGTCTCTATTCCGCGCTGCCCAGGCTGCAAACGCTAGCAACAACGCTTGGTGACACGCATGGACGAAATCGCTGGCGGAGCGCTAGCCGTGGCCGGGCTATGCGTACGCCAGCGTGCGCTGGTGACGCTGGTTGAAGGCTAGATGCGATTATGCAGTTCGCTCTCTTCGTTTGAGCTGCCGCTGGCGAGGTACGCCTGAAGCGCATAACGCTACGCTGCGCAAAGGTATACAACGCCAGCAAATCTTACTCGTTTGCAGTTTGTACTGGAAAGAGAATTGTTCTCCTGTTTTTGTTGGGTGGGATGATGCCCTACGGTGTCCTCCAACAAATGGGCCCGTACGCCAAGTGACACACAGCCACTACAACCACACACACGGACACAACGCACACCCACAAGACAGCCCACGACACACCTCACACACACACAACACACACACCCCGCACACACCGACACAGCACAAACACACACACACCACACAACACACATCACACAGCACATTTCACATTCACACACACACACACCAACTAAAAAACAACAACTGAAGCGCTTAAGCGTGTAAGTAGAGGGTGAATCATCCTGGCCCTATGTTATGACACGTTCTTTCCTTCCATAGAAAGATCTGATACGTCAACGGCTGCCGTGAGCGACCAGTAGTCAGATCACTCAGGTTTTGTAGTGTTTCTCAATGTGTCTGTTGAGATCTGATTTGTTTTTTGAATAGGAGCATATATCACCTATGAAAGGTAAGTCAGCAACACGTCCACTGTCGAGAACAATGGGACTGTATGGGCACTTGGCCTTCTTCAGCTCGTTCAGGATTCGAAGTTCACGCTGTAAAAGAACGAGTGTTGTTCTCCAGTCCGGAAGAAAGTGAAGGTGCCACTCGGAAAATAGGAACAGACCTTCATTCGTAAGGTGATGTTCACGCTATATGGCCGGATACTGGTCTTCATTGCGAACAGAGTGTTCTTCTCCACAGTCTCATTGCTTAAACACAGTCGGCTGGTTGTCTTACGAATATTCTTCACTAGAAGGAGTAATGGGCGCTATGTGATTCGAAGGTTGTTGATCCGCACATCCTTACAAGCGGGCCATCCAGAGCGGAACTCCCTCAAAGGAACGGTCCGCGATGACTCATGAAAAGCAGAAGACTAATGGCACAAGTGGTGCACACTGGATAACATTGTGCCAGTTTGCGGTTCAAAGTTGTAAGGTGTTGGAGTTATGTGCAAAATTGCTCCAGTGGTCTTCCCTTTTTTCAACGACTCCGCCTCCAGACTCCTCCTTCAAAACCCGCCCTCCAGCCAGTTGCGATGCTACCGGACAATCAGCATAAAATGGATGCTATGAGTTTCTTCTCGGGTCTTAGGGCTTCATTACAAAGATCTGCAACCAGTACTTTCCCAAAAAAGCGGTCATTAAAGGTGTTGCCAACATAAGCTAGCGGCTAGCAAAACCCCGTCAGCTGCTGAGTCATTAGCCGCGCGACGCGCCCCGTGTTGCGGGCGCCGCCCCATACGGTTCTGTTGCACGTCTCCCCTTTTATCGCAGACCGTGCCTTTCACGTGGCAATGGTGAAGTCGTCCAGCTAGTAAAAATTGCATGCCACGCCTCGGATATCGTGAACTACGCTTCGATAGGACATTCTCCAGCGAAGCTGAGCCAAGTCTTCTCTTTTGCTCCTCACTATGACAACGTGTCATATTTCTGACATGATTTGATCAGCATCAGAACATGCCGCCCTTTCAACTCACCCTTCTGCCTGACTTGGCTTTGTCTGTTTTGTCAGAACATGACATAGCTTCGCCGCACTGGAGTTTTTATAATGGAATTATGAGATTATGATGAAATTCAGAGCATACTTCGCGCAAACTTGTCGAGAGATAAGATACAGGGCAGTGTACCGTCCTTCATTGTACTTGAGCTGCACTTCATAGCGATTGAATTTGCGATCCTCTTCATCAAGACTGAAATAACCTCAACTCATGTGTATACCTTTGACTAACTCATGATGCCTCGCGTACCGCTAACTCTCAGGAAATAGAACCATGCGAGGGATGTGAGGTGTCCTACACGAACCAACAAAAGCTCTTCTGTCGTCCGTTAATTTTATTGAGTTAGCTCCAAACAAATACCTGTATGACTCGTACGGATCCTAGGCGACCCGTCCTATTATCCGCTAAGGCGTCCTACCGCTGCATACCTACTTAGCCTCCAGATCC